CAGACAAGAGTGCATACCATATGCTTCCATTTATATAAAATTTTAAGAAAATTCAAACTAATCTATAGTGGCAGATCAATGATTGTCTATGAATAAGGGAAAGGAGGGAAGCTGGGGATAGCTAGCTGTTGTTGTAGTTAGGTGCCATGAAGTTGGTACAGACTCATAGCAACCCTATGCACAACAGAACAAAACACTACCCAGTCTGTACCAACCTCACATTTGTTGCTGTGTTTGAGACAATTGCTCTTGCCACTGTGCCAATCCACCTCATTGAGAGTCTTTCTCTTTTTCTCTAACTCTCTACTTTACCAAAGATGATATCCTTCTCCAGTGACTGGTCCCTTCTGATAGCATGTTCCAAGTATGAAAGACTAAAAGTCAGGCCATCCTAGTTTCCAAGGAACATTCTGGTTGTACTTCCTCCAACACAAATTGGTTTGTTCTTTTTGGAGTCCATAGTACTTTTAATATGCTCCTCCAACACATAAATGCATCAATTCTTCTACAGTCTTCCTTACTCACTGTCCAACTTTCACATACATATGAGGTTATTGAAAATACCATGGCTTGAGTCAGGCGCACCTTTGTCCTCAAACTGACATCTTTGCTCTTGAACACTTTAAAGAGGTCTTGTGCAGCAGATTTTCCCAATGCAGTCATGTCATTTGATTTCTTGACTGCTACTTCCATGAGTATTGATGGTTAATTCGAGCAAAATGAAGTATTTGATAACTTCAATCTTTTCTCCATTTATATGGATGTTGTTTATTGGTCCAGTGGTGAGGATTTTTGTTTCCTTTACATTGAAGTGCAACCCAAACTGAAGGCTGTAGTCTTTGATCTTAAAGTCCTCTTCACTTTCATCAAGCAAGGTTGAATCCTCTGCGTATCACAGGTTGTTAATGAGCCATCTTCCAATTCTGATGTCACATTTTTCTTTATATAATTCAGCTTCTCAGATTATTTTTTCAGCATACAGATTGAATAAGTATGGTGAAAGAATACAACCATTGCACACATCTTTCCTAATTTTAAACCATTTGGTGCTCCCTTGTTATGTTCTGTTCTGTTCAAACAACTGACTCTTGATCTGTGTACAGGTTCCTCGTGAGCACAATTAAATGTTCTGGAACACTCATTCTCTGCAAGCTAGCTAAATATGTAAATGACATCAAATTTGTTGTTTTTAAATGCTGTTGAGTCAATTCCAACTCATAACGACCTTGTATAGTTTCCAAGCCTTCTAAAGCTTTGCAAGAGCAGAAAGCCTCATCTTTTTTCCCATGGAGCAACTGATGGGCTTGAACTGCTGACCTTGTGGTTCTAGACCTTAAATATGTGCAGTTTCTCAAAGTGTTCTCAATAAAGTTGTCTTATAAAACACTGGATGTTAGAAGACAACGAGTGATGCATTCAAAGTTCTAAAGAATTATTTACAATTCAGAGTTGATTAACTAAACTGTTAATCAAGTTTGAGGGCAGAATAAAGATCTGGAAAATCATGGTCCCAGAAAGTTTACTAGCCACATCGTTTTTTATTTTTCTATTCATAGATTTCATTCTGGCATATTCTTTAGTCCAATGAATCTTTGACAATGGAAAAAGACTTATCTGGAGGACCTGTGAATATCACTGCTATGAGCTAGTTTCATCTCAGAGACAAAGAAAAACAGTATAGATCCTGGGATGGGAGGATCAGATGTCCCCAAATTATAAAGGCAAAAATCTTTAGGATAGTTCATGAATACTGGAAATTATTCTTAAGGGTCAGGATCTACTATACAGGAGTCTACATATTTTTTTTTCTTTCAATTTATTTGCAAAATTATGGTATTGCTTAAAAACATTTTTTTTGTTTCTCCCTGGAGGTGGGTTATATTTTTCTGCCACTTGACCAATTCTTGAGCAGAAGTACCATATGTCACTTACAGGAAAAAGCTTTAAAGGTTAGTTCATGCTTTATCTCACTTTCTTTTCCCCTCTGCCTTCCTAGCATTTAGTGCTCCATTGTTGTTGTTAGGTGTTGTCAAGTCGGTTCCAACTCATCGCGACCCTGTATTATGATTTCCAATGAGTAGCTGGTGGGTTTGAAACACCGGTCTTTCAATTTGCAGTCCAGTGCTTATCCTACAGTGCCACATCAGGACTCCATACAGGCTGCTTTATCAGCTTTGGTAGCAAAACCACTGCCTACCAGCAATGTTTATGTGACACACCACAAGTGAGAAAAATGTTGCAGCAGCATAGTCTAGAGTCTCCTTACTGATACAATTTCATTATAAGGTGGCTTCTATTTGGCAACATCTAAAGAGGAGGTTAAGGAGCTCTGGTAGCGTAGTGGTTACCAATCAGGCTACTAACCTCAAGGTCAGCAGTTCGAAACTACCAGCGGTTCCGCGGGAGAAAGATGAGGCGTTCTGCTCCCGTAAAGATTTACAGCCTCGGAAACTCTGTGCAGGGTCACTATGAGTCAGAACCAACTCCACGGGACTTAACAACAACAACAAACAAGAGGTTGTTTCAATTCATCAGTAATGGATCTCCAAAGCACAGGGTGGAATGGCTTACTTAGGTGACAGTTTCATATGCAAAGCTAGTCACAGCCAAGTGTGTCCATTTTTGACATCTGAAAATCTTTCCTTATCCTTCTTAGGGAAAATCATTCTCACTCATTCATTTCACAAATACTAAGAGCCAACAAGATGCCAAGCATTGTGCTAGGTGCTGGGGAGAAAGTCATGAACAAGGTAAATAAAATACAGTCCCCGTCTCATTAGAAGTTTTGTTCTAGTGGAAAAGATAATACATAATTATAAATTTATTTAAAAGCAACGTGGTAAGTACTAAAATGATGATGATCAGGATGTTAGTATCTGGTCATCTTCTTTTGTGCTCCCAGAGGTAGGAGATTTATCCAAAATTACTCAACCAATAAAAGAAGAGGAATCAGAACCCTGTCTTCTGACTTAGGCATGCTTCTGACTTAGGCATGTAGTCTTGGGACTACACCTTGAAATAGCTTGTATTTATTTGGGCTAATAACCTTGTTTCCACTATCTATACGCACAGGAAGGGCCACGTGGAATGTGGATTTGGTAGCATAGTGGTTACGAATTGGGCTGTGAACCGCAAGGCCAGCAGTTCGAAACAACCAGGCGCTCCGCGGGAGAAAGATGAGACTTTTTCTGCTCCCGTAAAGATTTACAGCCTCGGAAACCCTGTTGAGGGTCGCTATGGGTCCGAACCGACTCGACGGCACTTAACAACAACAACAATGTAAGAGATAACTTTAAAAACGTCCAAAACACAAGTATAATTGATACTGGGTCAGTAGAATCATCCATTCCTCTTCATGAAGATTAACACCATATCTTTTTTACAAACACAGCAAAGTGAAAACTCACCATACCCAGGAGGGCAACAAATAGATGTGTTAATATGGTCTGCTCCACAGCAGCTCTTCAATAACAATACACCCAACTATGTGCTTTTCTACGTAGGGTGAAATATTTTGTACAGAAGTGATGTTGTTGTTAAGTGATAGTCTTCCATTTTTCAATTTTGTCAAATTCTTTGATTTTAGCATAATCTAGGAATTACTCCAACTTGACATTAATTCGAAAGACGTTCCCTAAACAACCGTTGTTGTTGTTAAGTGCCTTCTAATCGATTCCAACTCATTGTAACCCTGTATCGTTTCCAAGGAGCGGGTGATGAGTTTGAACTGTAGACCTTGTGGTTTAAACCGACCTTGAGGTCCAATGCTGTCGTTGTTGATAAGTGCCATCGAGTCGTTTCCGACTCATTGTTACTGATGTTGTTAAGTGCCGATGAGTCGGTTCCAATCTATAGCAACCTTATATAGGGTTTCCGATGAGTGACTGGTGAGCTTGAACCGCCCACCTTGCGATTCAAACAGACCTTGCGGCCTAGTGCATTATCCCACAGCGCCACATCAGGACTTAAACACTATAGGGGGTTAAGAAGTTGGTATCTATACTCGACAGCACTAACAACAACCTCAAAGACTCGAGTGTCTTCCAGCACTAAGATTCCCTCCCTTGCTTTGAAAACTATATGGAGTCACTACGATGGCGGTGGACTACTGCTGTGGGGCTGTGGGATCAGCACTGGACTGTGAACCACAAGGTCGGCAGTTCAAACCCACAAGCTGCTCCTCAGAAATCGTATACAGGGTTGCTGTGAGTCGGAACAGACTCACAGCACTTAACAACAACGACAGCAACCACTGGGGTGGGGGAATTGGGGGCGCAGGGTACACACATTATTTAAGTATTCCAAGAAGCTCTCTTGTAAAAAGGATTTGGTGCAGCAGGCATGCAATGAGGGTCCTGTGGTATTTTCAGTTCCCCTCAGTCTCAAAGTTGGTAAAAGAATGTGTAAAAGGACACCCATATTTACTTTCCAGAGGGAGCGTCCTTCCTGAGCAGTGTCACCAGGCAACCTTCAGGGGAACTGGCATTGACTCACCCTGGTGCAAACCTATTACGGTACAAGAACTCAGGCAAGGGACTCCCTACAAACGAGAAACACTGACATTTTTTGTTGCTGTCTCTTCCTCTCTACACATCATTCTGGGTCCTCACGGTGTCATTTCCAATGCCCAGTCCCTAAATTCCAAACCAATGGGTATTTCTCTGAGGGGCTGCCAGGGCCGGGTTTTTAGTGAACCAAGACTGCTGGGGTTGTCATGGGAAAGCCAAGTAATTTCTCTCAAAAATTCCAAATGGACACTTCGGGCACTCATCTGAGCCTAAAGTGCCCGTCGGGATATTATCAATGGATCAGATCGCGTCCAGGCCCCCGGGATCCGACGGCAACCTAGCGCGCAGAGGACAGCTCGCACACCCTCGGCCCCGCCCCTTGCTTCCGTCCGACTCACAGTCACGTGCTCTGACCCCGCCCCGCAGACGCGGCTCCTCTCGCGTCGAGCATCTCGACTTCCCTTCCGCCGGAAATAAGGCGACTTTCCTTTTCCGGCTACGGGTCCTCAAGCGGAGCGGGATATCGGACAGTGGAGCCGAGCGGCGGCGGCGGCGGGGCGGCGGCGGTGGTGGTGGGGGAGGCGGGGGCGGTAATGGCGGAGCTGGTGCCGGGGCAGAGCGCTCCGGTGGGGATGAAGGCCGAGGGCTTCGTGGACGCTCTGCACCGAGTCCGGCAGGTACGGGCTCTGCCGGCTGGCGGGAGCACGAGAGGCCGAGGCGGGGCCGGGTGGGGAATCGGGGTTGGGGGCTGGAGGCTATCTGGTGGGACGCCTCAACTACCCCGGCGGTTCCTTGGGGCTCCTGCAGCCGGGAGGAGTCGGGGAATGAGACGCCACCGCGAGGCCCAGGCCCAGCCTGTTGGGTGAGTCTCCCAGGTGCCAGCAGCCGCTGAGAAAGGATTTGCCCAGGGAACTTGGCTCCTGTAGCTTCCCCACGTCGGAACGGGACTCCTGGGGCAGTCATCGTAAGGTTCTGAAGCTGTTGAGGAGGTTGGGTGCTTTTGGTGAAAACCCGGGTGTAGCCAGAATGCAACCGTCCTAGACTCAGTAGCCTTTTAAAAACTTGAAAAAAAACCCCATCATTCTTGGACTCGCGGCATTTTGAAGATGGAGTGGAAGACACTCGGGGTATTTTACTTTTGTGGGTACTCTTTGGAGAGGAAAGAGTGCTAAATAGGTGTGGGTGGTCCCCAGAAGATAGAAATTCTGTGGCAATAGTTTCTCCTCAGCATGAGGGAAAAAGTAAGTGATACGAATTCATTCCAGTCGTGAAACTTTACTATCTGACAATGTCTTGCATTTTGTCAAGGCTAAACTGTTTAAGAGGTTGCAAGATTTCCTGAAGAATGAATACGGTATCTGCCAAAAATGCCTAAGCTTCTATTATAGTGCTTACAACAGGCCTGACGTTGTATTGTGTGTAAAACTTACTAACTAGTTAGCTCTACCACTTAATTTCCTCTGTTGAGTTAGTTGTGTTCATCACCTCTTTCTGTTTAATTGTAGGTGCACTAACTGATACTTAAAAAGATCTGCTATAACCAATTACTGCTTGGCTCAACAGAAAGCTACAGGATTCATTGTATTAGAAGAAGGTCTCCACTAGGTTGCTTGAAGATAATGGTTTTTACGTCTCTTTTCCGTTTTCCAGGAGAGGGAACCCTGTTTCCCAGATTTGAACTTTCATTTTAATACTGATGCTCCTATAGACATTGCACCAAATTCTAGAGCTTCCCATACCTTTGTTGTTAAATCCTTTGAGTTGGTAAAGACCTTGTATAGGTTTCCTGGGGAGCAACTGGTGGGTTTTAACCACTGACCTTGGCAGTTAACATACTAGTGTTTATTCTACCATGCCACACCAGGACTCCTCCCATACCTTTAATTCCACCCAGAATTTCATCTGATGTTTTGTTTCTTACTGCCAAGGTGCCAACCAGTGTAGTAGTGAGTATCCTTCTTTCTTAGCTGTCAGAGCCAACCAGTGACTATTATGGATGAAATGCCATCCAGCTCCCCTTCTACCCTCTGCTTTCCAGCACATTACAGTGTTTCTGTACAATACAGGTCCTTAACCTTATTTCTTATTGGCTAATAAGCCATATGTAATGGTTTTCACCCCATACTGATGTGTGGCAATCACCTTGTTTGGCCTATGTCCAGGAAGAATTATAATCATTATCCTGAAGAATTCAGATCCTCATTTTAGAGAAAGCCTGTAGTAAATTTTGAACCATTGTGAAGACACCACTTGTCTTGAGCCAGTGGTTTGACTCATTTTGGATAACCTGCTCAAGAACAAGGGAGACCCTCTGATGAACGCTGACTTAATGTGAATTGTTGAATCTGTGGTGTCTACTATTGTTGTTGTTAAGTGCTGTCATTCCGACCCATAGCTACCCTGTACAGGGTTTCTGAGGCTGTAAATCATTACAGGAGCAGAAAGCCTCATCTTTCTCCTGTGGAATAGCTGGTAGTTTCGAACTTCTGACCTTAAGGTTTACAGTCTGATTCGTAACCGCTATGCTACCAGAGATCCTTCTATAGGCATTGACAACTTCATTGGAAATGTTCCTGGCTCTGAAATGCACCATTGGCTGGAACAGTAATAATCCCAGTGGAGCTTGTGCTGTAAGTGTATTACTTCTGAATGGTGTTATCAGCTGGAGGTCAGTACTATCTTCAAGGACTCGATAGTCTTTAAAAAACTAAACCAAAAGCAGGTTTATGGGTTATTTTAGGCTTATTTTGTAGATCTACATTGGCCAAAAATGAAATGTTAGAAGTCTGTAATCTGTGCTTATTGTAAATTTAGACATCTGGATGGTGGTGGTTCTGCTATCTGTACACACATAATAAAAGATACAATTTCCCCCCCAGTAAAAGTGGAACAAAAGGCAGAGTATATATATATACATATATTTAAATGATTGCAAAGCTTTATGTGCTATCATGTGCAAGGCCTTTCTTTGTTTGTGGTTCAACAGTAAGGTATTACATGCTTAGTAGCTTATCTGGTGGTGGTGGTGGTGGTAGTGGTTATGTACTATGAAGTCAGTTTGACTCATAACAACCCAGTGTAGCGTTTCCGAGTCTAAATCTTTACGGGAGCAGAAAGCCTTATCGTTCTCTTGCGGAACATCTGGTAGTTTAGAACTGCTTACTTTGAGGTCAGCACCCAACTCATATAACCACTCTGCTAATAGAATATAAGAGTCTGAGTTGGATTTGAACCTGAAATTTCTACTATGTCTGATTTGTAATGTCTAGCAGTTAATAGTATAAAGTCCAGTGCAGTGTGTTTGGCATAGTTTTATTATTAAGTGCCATCGAGTCAGTTCCAACTCCTAGCACCCTTGTATATGGTTTTTAAGGAGTGGCTGTTGGGTTTCAATTGCTGACCTTGTGGTTCAAATCTGACCTTGCTGTCCAGTGCATTATCCTGCAGCGCCACACCAGGACTCCTGTATTCTGTAGGGAAGTACATAAAAATAAAAATGTGATCTGATTTGGTTCCATTGATGAATTGCTTGGTATTACAAGTCATGTCTAGTACTCCTAAGTCATTGACTAGTTAGCACAAAGTGTATCTTCTACTAGTTGCTTAGAGAAGACAGGATCTTAATGAGGTCAAGATGTAGACTCAAACCCAAGTAGATCATCTTGTTCCATGACCACATTCTGTATCTCTTTTCTGATCGTCTGCCTAGGTGACAAGGATAAGAAGATGATAGATGAAAATCTATTTTATTTTGGTTACGTTTTCTGATTATAAACATGTTCCAAGAAAATCCATTTGCCAATAATTTAGTAGCAGCTGCCATTGAGTACAAACTGTTGCATGTTCACAGGATAATGTATGTTATAGATTTCCTGCAGTCTTCCATTGAGCTAGACCAGCTGTCCGCTGATCATCACCTAAGTAGAAGCTCTTTTGCCAAACTGCTAATGAATGCTTTTTATGACTTTAAGCTCCTGCTTTGATTGAGACCACCCAATCAGTGCCACTGCATTGCACAACACCAGGATATTCTCATCACATAGAATAGTGTCGTTGGTGCCTTATGGAGATGAGCAGCATGGTGACCTTTCACCTAGTTGTGACCAAGGTTATTGTCCATTGTGTTGTCAGTAGAAAGTAACTGTTTGACAGCTTTTTTGACCCGGAATCTAGTCTTTACTGACATCTTTTTGGAAACATTGTTTGGTGTGGTGCCACAGAAGTTCTGCAGTTTTCCAGAAAATAATCCCCTACTGCTGCTGTTTCACACTTTGATCCTGAGCAGTAGATAGTTTGGGGTGTGTCCCTGTACACTTTGGGCAGATCTGGGACTTTAGTGCTTTAAGATGCTTTTTTTTTTTTTTTTTTTTTTTTTTTACACAAGCGCTAAATTTTCTCAAGAGAACTCTGCACATTCACCTTTAAAAGAAAACGCTTTCATGCATTGGCAGTTGGATACTCCTTGAGAGATGCCTTTGTTCATTTGATATATGTTTCTGACTCATAGTAAAGGCAGGTGCACTGATGCGCAATAGATTTAAGTTATGATGTGCTGTAATATCTCAAGTCAGCATTTCATGAGGGATTAACTCCTGTGTGCACGTTAATTTTAGCTTTCTCAAACACTGACAAAACCATTGTCTGCAAGAAATCCATGAGCTGCTCCTGTACTACTGTTATATGTGACCCAGTAGAATACCCTGCAAAGTGAGTTGTGAATAAAGGGTTTTGGTAATGCCGTGGAGCCCGTTTGCCCACATTGTTGGAAGCCCTAAATTCCATATTTGGCATTCAAAAGTACATAGAAAATGAGCAGTACATTCTCATTTTCAGCTGAGATGTCTTTAAAATCTGAAAGTTCATGTATATTTTTGTTCAGTGGGCAAATTTGGGACTTCAGTGCTTTAATATGCTTGGTTTTTTTACACAAGCGCTAAATTTTCTTATGAGAACTCTACACATAACACTTTCATGCATTGGCAAAATGCCAGTTACTTATGGATAAAGGCTGGAGAAGGGTGCACTGTGGGCATGCTTACAGACTTACACAGTAACAAGACTTAGAAATTAGAGTAATTTCACATAAAAATTAAACTTTCTAAAACTCCTCTAGGAAAGATCTGGCCACACTGCTGCCATGTTCTGCATGGTAATTGTCATAGGTATCTAGTGTTGCTAGAGCAGAAATACCTGATGTGGATGCCTGTAACAAATAAATATTTATTTTCTCACGGTTTAGGAAATTAGAAGTCCAAAGTCAGAATGCCAGCTCCTAAGGAAGGCTTTCTTGGTTGACTCTGGATAAACGTCCTTGCCTCCTTTCATCATCTGTAGACTCAACATTCATTGAGAGCTTCATGTGTCTTGGCACCAGTCTTCCCCTGGATCTAGGAGCTTCCCAGTGCAGGGATCCAATTCCAAAGGATGCACTCCACTTCCAACTCCTCTTTGTAGGTGGCAGTAGGTCCCCCTGAGCCTTGCTTAACTATTTAATCTCATTTATATCTCAAAAGAGATGAACTCAAAGATACAGTCTAATCCTGTAGATTGCATCGTATAAATGAGTACAATGTATAGGAAAATTAAATCAAATTAGAACTGATCACATCAGATCATATCTTGGGGGTGATTACATTATTTTTTATCTCATCATGGGGGCTTACTACATGTAACAGCC